GGGGGGGGAGAGAGAGAGAGAGAAATATTGATGTGAGAGAGACACATCTATTGGTTGCCTCCACATGCAACCCAGACACGTACCCTTGACCAGGAATCAAATCTGCAACCCTTCTGTGTGTGGGCTGGTGCTCTAACCACTGAGCAACTCTGGCCAGAGCAGATTTGTAAATGGTATGGGTGATGTGAGAGTATTTATTTTAAAGGTATAAACATCATTTATTTGGAAAGATTTTGTTTTTTTGAGTACATGGGAAAGGGCATAAAAGTTAATATTGTTTACTAGGTTTTGTTTTTTGTAATTTTATAGAATGGTGAGTAAGACCGCTTTGTTTAGTTTATTAAGAGGAAAGAGTACCACCTAAGGTCTTCTACAAGTTGTTGTCTTTCTAAAATAATTACTTCAGTTACCAAATCTTTGTTGCTTTTATTATACATGTTCTTTCACACCTAGATATGTCCTTTACTTAAAATGTGTTTGCTTCTCACAGATTCACTGCCACTGTTTCCATTTAGGCACCATCAACTTCTACAGAGCCAGTGCAGTGGTCTCTTGACTTCTTTCCCCATATCGATCCTTGCCCCTGCCTTGATCAACTAGAGTGATCTCTTGAATAGTTTAAGTCTGACCATGCAACTCTCTTGGGCAAAACTCTTCAGTGGCTTCCTGTTACTCTTATAGGAAAGTCCAGACCCCCTACCATGGCCCATTAAGCATCGCTGATCTGGTGGCTTGCTTTCTTCAGCTGCTTTTTCAGCCATGTGTCCCTCTGGCCATTCTAGATGTGCCCTCTTTTGCTTCAGGTTATATCCCTGCTGTTTCTACTGATGCTCTCTTCCCTAACACTATGCCTGGCTGACTTCAATTTACCTTAATTTAATTATTATTTTAAAAAATAATTGAATTATGTTTTAATTCCAAATTTACTTCACTGTCATCGTAATAAACACATTTGATGTTAAGTATAGAACATTCATTTGGCTTGCTCATTACTATACTAATGCTATACTCTGGAAAAAATAATAAATTGAGTGAATTACGTAATATGATTAAAGAGGAAATGAGGTATACCAGTTTTCAAATTTCACTAAAAAGGTAATTAAAATTGCACAATACATTTCTATTTGCTCTTTGTTTACTTGCCCTTTGTCTCTTTTTCATTGAAATAGGTAATTATATTTGGAGGGATAAAGTAATTCTAGTCATAAGAATTTTTTGGTTGAATTTATCACGTTAAAATTGGAGATTATAGTAATTATAGCAAAAATCTAACTTAATTTTTAAAATATGTATATAAATGTGACTAAAACAATGACTGACTTGTTACCAGCACAAAATTAACTTATGGTATCACTAAAGTGTTATGATATATAAAATTTTAATTCTTGAGCATTTAGGGCACTCTTGAAATTTACCTTCAAAATAAAAACTGACATTTCTGTAGTTATCAATTACACCTACTTTTTGGAAAATGTATCTAATAATATCACAAATACTTTGAAGAATAAAAAGTAATAATAAAGGCTTTTAGGGGTAAGAAAGAAAATTGGTGCTTCTATGGAGGGACAAAGAAGACTTTCCTTTTCTATGTCTCTCCCTGTGCTTCATCCCATGGACTAACTTCTATATCAAGACTTCTGATTTTGGCCTAGTCATTTTTTAAAAACTATGTTTTTATTTATTTCAGAGGGAGGACAGGAGAGGGAGAGAGAGAGAGAAACATCAGTGATGAGTGAGAATTATGCCCCCTACTTGAGATCCAGCCCACAACCTGCGTATGTGCCTTGACTGGGAATCAAACTATGACCGCCTGGTTCAGGGGTCAGTGTTCAACCACTGAGCCACTCCAGCCAGACCTAGTCATGTTTTTTGATTTCTGGTCTCTCCCCTTAACTTAGGTTTTACTTGAGTGATGGGTCAACAAACACGTTGTCAGATAGCTTAAAGAACACCTTCCACTTCTTTTCTTCCCTCGGCTTTAATTGGTAAAGGAAGACATTAGAGAGGAGGAACAACTTTAGTTACTGGGTTTGAACTTCTGTTCAG